TATTGTTTCAAAAAATCCATCTTAAACAGTTGATCATCACTATATTTCTTTGCTTAATGAACATTCTTAGTGATAACAAACTTACAGTTGCAATAAAACAGCAATGATGCATGTGGCCGAGAAAGAGATTAGACCGAGAACAGCGAAGAATACTGCGATGAAACCGCCGAGAATGCCGAGACCTTTGGCCAGGAAACGAACCCACCACGGGAATGCTGCGTTCGGGTCATGCTCTGTTTGCATCTGCGTTTGAGCACCAGATGCTGCCGCTCCCATCTTGCTTTGGCCACAATTCACTCTCTTTTATTTTCCAAGCAATCGATCTAGAATACCTCTCCGATTTTGCTACCTTATTACCATCATTTCCACACAATAACGCTCATACCACTCAACTGATTCTACTATATAGATCGTGACTTATTAATGACTGCGGGATGTCTGTCGTAGCGAAGATATGACTGAAACGTTTCGAACGGACTAATTGTAAGCGCAAAATTTCCAAACGAACAAGTGACAATTAACGCCACGTGGTGACACATGCATGCATAACATGCACGACTGCTTAATTCAGCAGACACGTTTTAAAACACTGTTTTATTCTATACAGATGATCAAGAATATTTTACACAAAATTCGAGTCGTACTCGGTCTCACCTTCGCAAAATCTGAATAAAACGAACTGAACAAAGCGGCTATTGGATTGCCCATCTCTTATCAACGTAGCAAAGTAAAATAAAAACATCGAACAACTACAACACTCCAAGTAGAATCGATATTTTAAAAAACTCAATTTCATGAATATGCATACAGTGATAATGGAAATTAACAAATGGAATAAAATACTTTTAAAAATTGACTGATTAATTTTCGCTCAATCAACAACACAAATAATATGAAGAGTGGAATGAAGAGAGGACATCTGATAAAGAAATGTGTCAATCATGCGATAAACATACAAACAACACAATATGTGCCACCAATATACTCAAGCAACATTCCGAATACGCAACGCAATCAAGACACGCAGCTTGCCGGACATACACAATTACAAGACGACAACAAGCCGTGTTAAATCAATAGCTTTGCTTGAGTTCGTTTAATGTTATGCGTTTGATTTATTATGCAATAAATCGATGAATTTCACTGATAGTTGAATAGAATACATGTAATCGATCGTTGAAGTATGCTTGAAAATATCATTTTGATTGAAAGTAGTCTGTGCTGAGACGTGGATGGAGATTGATCGTAAAAAGTTATTTTAGCAAATATATTATTGATTGCTAACTGAATANNTTATTTCAGTGATAAAACATATCAATCAATTCACATCTGTCATTCAAAGTAACAATGATAAACATTCACCTTACGAATACACATCACTCATTCCATTAAGAACATCCAAATTGTACAACAACAAGTGATTCGAATCAATCCCAAAAACAATTCATCGAATGGCTCTTACAACCAGCCGATGTATCAATAAACAATTGAACAAATAAATAATTCACAAAACATAATTAAACGAATAAAACAGAAACGAATGAAAATAAGCACTCAAAAGTGAAGTGCAATGACGACGAACACGAACGAAGGATACAAAAGGAAAATAATCTGAATAAGTTGAATAAAGTCTCAAAAAATGTTTATTCGAACAAACGAACAACAAAACGTACTTCACGCACAGCGTTGTTACCGACTGAAGAACAATAAATTTACAACAATACATTTGAGAAGAAATACGCATGCAACAAATAAGTAAATAAACACAATACAACAACAATAACTGGAGAGCTGAACACGTCACTTAACGACTAATAAAATTTACGAATTAAAACATTTTTTCATTTTCGATGGAATATCATTCGCAACGAATTTTCACAGATAAATTTGATAAAAGCGAGATGAGATGTAATTCAATTCAGAAGTTATCGCTCATAGGATATGACTGAGAACTGTGAAGCGACAGAAAATTTTTGAAGGTGATTTTGTTGAGATAATTTCATCAACAGGAAAGACTTATGGAAAGGTGAACAGTTTTGATGGTGATTTATACGAGTCGATCGCATGAATATCTCAACTTTTTGATTTTTTATCTTTTGGAATCGTTTTATCGTTTCCTCAATTCAATCAATCCTCATAATGATTCAACGAACGGCATTTTGATCAGCAAAATGGTTTAAAAAAAACAATAATCTAAGCATAGCACAACGCTACAATG